TTTTAAATGAATAAAAAATTTTTTTAAATCAAAAAAAATTTTAAATGAATAAAAAATTTTTTTAAATCAAAAAAAAAATTTTTTTAATCAATTAAAATTTTTTTTAAATAATGAATTTAATTTAAATATTTTAAAATACTTTAACTATTTAATATATAATTAAAAAAAATTTTTTTTTATTATTATATTTGTGTTTTTTAAATTTATTTTTGCACCAAAAATTTTTTTTCGAATAACAAGTTTTGAAAAATTATTATAATTACTGTTTCAATTATACTACTTATAATTATATAAATGTCAAATTTTTATTATTTTTTCTTGCCTTTTCAACATTATAAGTAGTCAGTTGTGACGCAGCTGTAATGTGTTGTTAATGTTGTTTATTACCTGCTTTGAAAGTTATGATATGTTTTAAAATCAAGAATACTTGTAACTACTTATCAACCAACATCTGTCAAGAATTTTGGCATGGCATGAACTGAATTTGTTTGTTCAACAATAACAAAAAAATCTGTCACTGTCACCGTTAGGCCAAAAAATAGTTAATTCATTTGCTTACAACTCAATATTTGACAGTATTTGCCAACTAACGGTAATCGAGAGCGTTGTTTTGCACAATAAGGGCGTGTGGTTACCATTTTCATATGTATGTATGTATGTGTTGGCGTGTGAAATATTGGTAGCACGTGCGTACTGCCAAAATAATTCCGGTAGCACAGCTGTTTGGTGGTGAATGTGTACATACATACATATATTATATATGCACACATACTTATGCATTTACCTGAGATGGCTATAATTGATAGTGTTATTTGTGGTTGATAGCTGGAGACGCTTGTTGCTGACAAGTGCCAGTTGACAGCCAAATACCTACATACATATGTACATTTTTATATGCAACTGTGTGCGTGTGTGTTTGTGTGAAGTGCTAGATAGTGCGCTGAGGCGTACGAATGTATGATAGTGTTCTTGTTAAATTTTTCACTAAGTGTTACCAATTTCTTCGTAGCGCTGCTCAAAAATACATATCTACATATAAACATATCTAAATATGCACTTTGGCTCTGCACCTAATGTTTGTATGTATAATTGTATGTAGAACAAGATTAATTAGTTTTTAATTGCCAGGCGGTTAATAATGATAAAAGCGAATTAAATAAATGTTTACAAGTGGCAAGGCGCGTGTAGCTTTATATATTATATATGTAGAATGTACTTGAGTATATATAATTTTTGTATAAAATTTAGAAAATTATACGCAAGCATGCAAATTTATATATAATATTTCCTCCTTTTTTCTAGGTCTCGGTAGGATAAGCCAGGCTATCGGTTAATGAAAAAAAAAATAGTGTTGCCAGTGTTATTACGTCAACAAACAACTCATTAGTGCTATTGAATTTACACAATAATAATTGTTAATTATAAATCAATTGCTGCTGCAAGGTGTGAGGTGAGTAAACTTTGCCTTCAATTATTCTTATTTAAATATTATTTGCTGATTTCATCTTATAAATCGCTTTATTGCATGCCAATTGATATACAATTTGATATTTTGTTAAAGGCATACATAGTTGAAAAACGATTAATAATTAAATGAAAACATAGATAAAAAAAAATAAAAATCAACACTAATGTATGAAAATATTAAAAAAAAAGATAATAAAATAAGAAACAATGTTAACTTCAGCTGACCAAAGCTATAATACCCTTCACAAATACAAAATTTCTTACAAGATCTTTGATCAAGCAGTTTGTATGGCATATGCTATAGTGACTTGATCTGAAAAGTTTCTTCGAAAATTTATATATTTTATAGTGTATAGTATAAACTAAAATATCAACAAAAAAATTAAGATATGAGAAACTATCGATTTTAAGATATAAACACCTCGTTAACATCTATTTATACGAAACTCTCCACTAGGGAACCATCGCCCACCGCGGGATCGCTTTCGCATTACTTCAGGCTGGCGTTCCATATTTACCGTTTTAAGATTTGCATGTCCTTGCCTGCGTCCAAGTCCCGTTTTTCTTACACGTAGTACGTTTTCTATGTAATTTTTTATGTTCTTCCAATTTTCGTCGTTTTGAACCAAGACAGTTATGTTGTTGTCGCATTCAGGGTGCCGACCAAAATGTGGGGACTATTTCGCTGTATTTGCTAGCGTATGCATTTGAAAAATGTGTGTTCGGCGTTATACTCGTTTGCATCATTGTACATATAATACAATACAGCTCTTCGACTTTTCCCTTTTTATGTAGATATTTTCTAAAATAAGTGTAACATCTGTGTATTATGAAAATCCACCTCATCATTTTTACTGTTGGCCACTCTTTTATGATCTGATTAGCCTGGCTGTCCATCTATCGTGACGTACCTGCTCCCTCTTCCTTTATTTCCTCTTTTGTGGTGCTGAGACGATATGATGTAACGTTAGTATGCTTAGAGCAAATGTGAGCTACAATTTTTCTAGGGTGTTGCGTTGGTTGTTTTTGCTTAAAGAGTTTGCCCATACCTCTGCTCCGTAGAGCAAGACATTCACTTCAAAAGCTACCGTGTTTTCTGTCTCGGTCCTCCGATATTGGTCATCAACTTGCTAAGTTGGAAAGTTATTTTGGACGCCTTTTTCGCAGCGTTCGCAGCTGTCGTAATTGACGTTCCAGAGATCTGGGCCGAGAATTGATCACTGCGCAGCCCTTAAAGAATTGTGGTCCCTCAGATGTTTTATACAGAAAGATTCTATCTATCAAATTGCTCCTCACCATTAGACGGAGATATGTGGGTACTTTAAAATTGTCCTCTAATGCTTCAACCATGTTTTCCCATCGGGTCCTGTTGAAGGAGTTCGAGGCATTCCTTTATTGCATACCACATTGTCTTCTTTCTGTTTTTCTTTACATCCCCTGTTTCGTTTTTTGTGCGGTTTTGCTCATCAATTTCTGAGATTAGTGTATCGCCATTAAATTTAGAGTCGTTCCATTTTCTAACAGTAATGTGCGATCTTTTTTGTGTGACTGGATTTATCAATAACATTGTGCTTATAGCTCCTTTTAATTTTACTTTATTGCCAAGACTCAATAATTTCTAATAACCAATATGCATCTCGATTAAAATTTATCGACTATCGATAACATTCTTCCATCAGCTTCTCTAAAAATATTTTGTTGCTTTATTATTTCAGCAAATGCCGATACATTTTTTTTACCCAAAATGCCTGATGTTAAATTTATCGATTATCAATAATGTTGTGCTTTCAGCTCATTTTATTTTTACTTACTTTATGAATGTTTTGCCAGGACTCATTAATCTCTTAAAACTAATATGCATCTCAATAAAATTTATCGATTATCGATAACTTTTTTTGTAAACGTTTGTTGCTATATTATAATATTATTTGTTTATGTTAGCAATTCACATACATTTTTTTACACCCATGATTTCCTGATGACACAATTTTTCGAGTATCGATAACATTGTTTGCTTTTTAAACAATCTGTTGCTACTTTATTATTTTTTAGCAATTGCCATAATATTCAACAGTTATCGACTATCGACAATATTGTATTCAGGTTAAGACCTGCCATTTTCCTCTAAATAATTTGTTTGTTGCTAAAAACTACCTATGTAAAACACAAGTTTAATTGCAGTGTAAACGCCCACTTACCCTCTATTGCGGGTCCTCAAAACGATGGCCGTTATTCGATCTGCTACCATGCGCCTTCACTTTCTAAAACGCATTTAAAAACCGCATAAATTTCATTGTGTGTCTGGCAAATGCCGGCCTTGTAGGCTGGACGTGTCTACGGTTTTTCGCTTTCAGTCCACTAAGTAGTCGCCAACTTATTTACACTCAGTTAAGCCGTCAATTATGTTGTCTGTTGAAAAGTTCTATTGTCAGCGCTTCAATCATCATTATCTCTTTTATTTACATGTCTGATTTTTGCTGCAATGAAAGTGAAGTCGAAATATTTTTTCACCAAAAAAATATATTCCAATTTATTTGCGTGACAAAAAGTGTGAATATAAAAATTAAACATGGTAGTGTTAAATAAGTATATTTTTAGGCGTTAGAGACTGTGAAATTTCTCTCAGTTTTTTGATATTGAGAAACCTTATCTCTTTTATAGAGTTCTATTGACCGTTCAAACGAGGTTTTGTTAGAAAATATGCCAGAGTAGTCGGAGGCAATGGTGATTACTCTTTTCTGAAGCGTCTTTGTAATCACGAGCACGGCTGCGAATTTTTTAATTAAAAAATTTAGGATCTTATATTTTTTAATGCATTATTTGCAACCCAGAACGTATTTTAAAATTTTTCATTTTTAAAAGCATACTTTTAGGCGTAAAGTCATTTGTTCATTTAACATCGATTTCATTTCGCAAGGAAAATATAAATAATTCATGATATGGGAGCTTCTAAAGAGGTTTTGCTAAAATTTTCTATCTCAAGGGTCTCTTTTGTTTTGATTTGCATAACTTTAGGCGAGTAGAATAAATGCACCACCAGAGTAATTCGGCATAGGCTTAAGTTCTCGCTTTAGTATTTAACCATAAAGGTTCGATTTTTTTAAATATTATTTAGCAGATTAGATTTTTGAAAAGTTTTTTTAAAACGCACATTGAAGCATACATTGAGGCGCTTTTAAATATAATTGGTGTTTTTCCCTTAAATATTTCCCAAATTAAAAACTGAATAATATTAAATATAAAATCTGCTAAATTCTACAAAAATTAATTTCAAATAATGAAAGTTTAGTTTCAGGCGTAGTGCCTACCAAAAAAAAAAGTATATTTTCTTATCACAAGCGAAGCAAAATTGCTTTGCGCCTGTTTTTTTTTTGCGTCTGTTTCTCACTCATTTCTTTATGTTAGTCACTACCAACTGTTGATTGAGTGGCCAGTTAATATTCTTTTCTTACAAGTGTTCTTGTATTACTCTTTTATTTCTTTTCTCTTTGTCCTGTCATATTCGTGTCAACACTTGGACTTACTTTTTCTGTAATTTGCTTTTTTATATTTTTTTCCAGTGACGGACAGTGTTTATTCGTAGTAATCAGAAACTATGCGTTACACTCCTAAATGTATGCAACAGTTTTTTTTAATTTCAGTTGAATTATTAGTTGTGCGTTCTTTTACTGTCCTGCGGGTAACTTTAAGATTAAAAAATTTTTTATTTTATTTTTTTATTAAGAAAATATATTAATTATGAATTAATTTTTTATATTTAAGTATTCATTAATTTTAATTATAATTTATATAGTTTTGTTTTTTTTTTTGTTTTATTTATTAATTTGATTTTCAAATTTATGATTTGTTTCTATTCTTTTGGACTTTTTATTTTGCTTTTGATTCTTTAATTTTTTGTTCTTAAAATATTTAACACTCTTAATTTATTTTTTCTTTTAATGTAATAATTCATTAAAATTTAATATATTTATTTCTAAAATTTTTTATATTAGTTTAATTTTAAAATCTAAATTAATTTAAAAAAAAAATTTTATTTGTTTTATTTGTTACAATATTTATTGTTTACTAAAGCCTCTTCAAAAGCACCTACTGAAAAGCATTGCATATCTTAGGGCGTTTATTCATGAAAATGCTTTAAAAAATGCTTTGCTGCGTTAAGTAATTCTTTATATTTTCCATTGAAAATCAGATCGAATAAAAAACTATTACCGCAACAACAACAACAGATAATGAAAATGTGAAACAATAACAAATCCAAAACCAAAAACTAGAAAGAGAACAGTGTAAATCTGCAATATGTGAGAAAACCAAAAATCTCGTGAGTTTTTTGGACAATCAAGTTAGCACACAACAAGTGCCTAATTTGAAAGCTATAAAATAAAAAATACAAATAAAACAAAAATCAGAATTCTAATTCAAAAAAAGCTTTGACAAGCAACGATGCCAATTAAGCAACAGATAGAACGCAAAGTATGTGAAAAGAAGTGAGAGACAGAGATGAGAGAGAGAGCAATAAAAAGCTAAATGGAAAGGGTAGAAGAGAGGATGAGAGGCAGTAATAAATAACTGAAAGTAGCGTTTCTCAATACAAGCGAGCGCTACCGGATAGGAAAGACCTTTAAAAAGTAGAGATAAAATAATTTTTAAAAATTAAAAAAAAAAAGATTAAAAATTAATTAAATAAGAGAAATAATTAAAAAATAAAAATAAAAGAAATATAAAAAAAAAAATTCAACAAAATAAAATTAAAAATGACAGAAATTAAGTAAAGGTTAAAATTCAAATTAATAATAAAAAAAAAAATTGGTCCAATTTAAAAAATTTTAACTCATAAACTTTATGAATGCCTTGATTGCTATAAAGCTTCGGTTTATTCTATGGCATACATATGGTATATATTATTTACATACTTATGTATGTATATGTATAACGAACGCCAACTAAGACAAATGATGCTGAATTGTGCTGAATGCACCGAAGGAA